GCATAGACAACTCCGCCGCCAAATAGCGTTCTTCGAGGATTTTTGTCGTCTTGGTACCGACACCGTACTCGTGGTCCAGCAGGGAGGAGGTGGAGGGCGGTGTGCCCACCGAGGGGGACTGTAGGCGTTTTAGACTGTTTTGTCGACCCACCATGGCGGCGGTAGTGGTGGTGCGCATATCGGCCCTGGAGATGGCAGCGGGGGATATTTGATCGTAGCAGTTGAGTGTTGTGGTTTGCAGCTTGTTATTTTCGTTACTGCGACGCGTCGTCTCTCGTAAACTGTCGGTAGATTGGGGCTTCTCGCCTTGGTCAAGCAGGTATCGAGTTTCCTTGGGGAAAAAATTAAAATAAAGACATTATTCTGTGTCCACCAAGTGGCTGGTCAGATATCGCTCGCAAAGCCAACCCCGTAAAAGAGGATCGATCCGAAATATAAAAACCCACTTATACTGAACTGCAATGGGCAGATAATAGGACAACGAAGAGACAGATCTTACCTTATTTCTAACTATTCTGTTGATAGAGGAGACGGATGGAAGGATATCGCTGGTACAAATACCATCTCGGAGTAATCGCTCACGGATTTCCCAGGCGAACATTGTCGGATTGTCGGTCTTGTATTGGTGAATTGCATCGACTACCTGAGGGGTGGCAACCTTCGGTTTTGACCCGCCAATGACTCCGGGTCGAATACTTCCGGTCTCGTAGTATCTGTTAACAAATAAAATAGAATAAAGCAATAAAGTAAAAAAATTGCTGTGTCAATTTGTATGTCTCCGAAATTTGTTAAGTCGTTATGAAAATTTATTCTAGGAAAACTCTCGATGGAAAAACAAGTAATTATCACAGACTTTTATAAAGAAAAGCTGAAAGTTTACAAATTAAAACACGTTTTATAAAAAAAAGCATGGATGGGGATATTCTTTTTTGTACTCATTTGGTAGCGAATTTCGTCTACTTCATGATTTATCCTTGGAGAGCGAGTAGTTTTCGGTTTTATCAGAGCTTCTTATTATGAGATTTTTTATGACTATCAAAAGGTTCATTTATAAAGCAACATATATTTCCATTTTTGGATGCTGCTTTTAAATCATACCACATGGTCTACATCTAATGCAACATATTATGAGCTTTGAAAAGAAGCTCATATCAGAAAGCGGAAGCGAACGTGAAATATACTTGGCTATTTTCCTACTGCTACTTACCGGTGGGACACTGTGAAGATTAGGCATTAGGCATCGCTAAGATATCGAAAGACTCTACGTAAGTTCTAAGAATTACAAGTGATGCTACGGTGTGGAAACGAGGTGGCTTAAAACCAGGGGCATTATAGGTGTTTATATGAACCAGCTCAAGGATTGGAGGGGGCAGCTATAAGCCTTTCTAAGCCATAAGGTAAACTGATGATGGTAGATAAACTTCAGGTAACCATGCACCTTGAGATCTCCGGTGCAAATGTACTGATCGACCTCTTTTGCACCTTTCTGTTAACTCTAGATTCATCTGAATCACTCAAAAATGCAGTCGCTAGTTTAACAGGCCAATAGATGTTGCAATAAGTGCGTAAAGTAGCATTTCGTGCACTGAATGTCAGCCAAGTTGCCAGTGAACCGATCGACAGATCTAATCAGCTGACAACTGGATAGCTTGCGTGTCGACGGATCATCCACCAAGACTAGGGGGACTGTGACAGAGATTTCTGGCCTAGTTATCATCGCCGCCAATCATCCATTGTCCAACCAAATACCTGCTCGCACCACTCAGTTATCCCAACAGGGAAATCCCGAGAAAATAAGCTTGGGCCATCTCGTGGCTGAACTATCCACAACCGGGCCAAGTGGTCCGCACTATGTTGTGTCGAGAACAGTAAAGATTACAGGAGCGTGGTTCTCTGTGGATACTCAACCCCAAATTTGTAAATGTATGGCCTAAAATTGTCATTCCCGCCCTCTCCACTTATTTCGGTATTGCTGACGGCTTATCTACTGCTGATAGAAGTGAACAGGTGAGTTGCAGGAAGCAGTTCAGAAGGCGGATATGCAACCGCAGGAACAAGATGTGTATTTACCTGACGTTTCAAATCCTCACTCGAACCCATCATCAGAGATAACCGCAGAAAAGAACTGCAGTACTTATAGTACGTGCAACCACATGCGTACCCTAATTAACAGTTCTCGCAATCACAGCTGGTGGTCGTAAGTGATGTTATTTGCTGGGAAGGCTGT